TCCCTTAAAAAAAGATTCAGGAGACGCCTCTTTGCTGTTTAATGCCGAGCAAAGCCCCGTTGCTGTTTTAGTAGTTCACAGGTTGCTGTGTCCCGAAAACTGAAGATCGGTTTCAGCATTTCCCAGCTGAACACCGCGGTGCAGGTCCTACAACTTTGTTCCTGTTGCTTTCTTGACTCTTTCTCCCTATTGCTCACACTGGTGTAAAGTTAGTCACACTTACCTGCGTGAAGCGGAAATGCAAGAATCCGCCTATCAGAATAAAATAATTAGTGGTTTGACTTGCACAAACTGTTACGGACCATTTGTTGTGTCTGTTCAGGGTTTTATTCTTCTAGAAAGATGATCAGATAATTAGTACTGATCCACATCACATCGAAGATAAACTCCCATTTGGAGGGGAAAATAGAAATAAACCTTTATTTTTGAGGAGCTTAACCGGAAGTATGTATGTAACGTGCCTTTTTTAACAACCGCCTCCGGCTGTTCCCTTGCCTGTAAAAGTTTTTCTGACTGGGAGATGGAAACATGGCGCGGTGACCGTCACGTGACGTAACACCATCAAACCCGGCGACTCCCACCAGAAATCCCCCTTTATTAGAAAAAACACAATTTAAACTAAAAGGCATATGTGAATACGGAACCGCTTCATTCAACATAACTACATAAATAATAGTATACAATAAATTATTTATATTTTGGTTATTTGCAAAATAAATGATATGTGTAAACATTAACAAACTGACAACAAGCCATATATATATATATATATATATATATATATATATATATATATATATATATATATATATATATATATATATATATATATATATATATATATATATATATATTTATATATATATTAATTGAAAACAATTTCTTCTAATTTATTGTATTATTTTTAATGTAGATTGTGACTTTTTAAAGTTGAGTATATGAAGATTTCTTTGACACAGAAACCTGAAAAAAGTAGAAATAGCATGCAAAAAAAAAAAAAGTCCTTCAAAATTGTGTTTCCTGAGAAGATTAACAGCATTCCACCACTGATTGCTTATTTCTTTGTTTGGGCCTACAGCTCATAACAACTCCTGGAAATGCTGGATATCCATGCAATATCCAACCATAAAGTAGATAACAGACATATAATTAATTACACATAAAAGGTTTAACACATTTTTTTAACCAAATAACTTATTGTAATTATTTTTAAAAGAATGTTTTTTAATGCATTCATTACACTATTAAAATGTAATTCACCAGCTTTATTCAAAATTATATTTAATTTGAATTTAGGAGTCAAACAAAACATCTGGACATCAGACAATAAACTAGGAAATAAGAACATTTTCCTAGACATTTATACAATTGCAAAAAAAAAAATTGTTTTAAAGATATAGAACCTCATTACTAATCCATTGGAATACCTGTGGACCAAATAATAAAGTGTGGAACAAATTTCTGAGCAGTGATGTTGACTCTTCTCCCTCTCTCTTCTTAGTTGTCATGGCTTCTTTATGGTTGCTCCATCACTCAGTTCAAAGCAGAAGCTCATATTCACAAACAAGCACACTTGCAGACCTCCAAAACCTGTCAACATATTTTCTCAGCAAGGAATGCAAAGACACACAACTGTAAATGCCTACTGATAAGTTTGAAGACATATTTCCAAATAATCTTATATTTAGATGTGATGTTTGTGGTCACTGTGTGATATTAGTCCATAAACCCCTCTTTGTATGAATGACTCTTGAGCTAAGGTTGAGTGTTGTGCAGCAGCAGTTTGTAAGTAAAAACTTCCTGATGTTCATCCATCACTATTTCCCAAATTTTCCCCGCCACTGCCAGTCTAATTACAGGGGTATTATGTATGTGAATGTAGGCTTCCAGCAGGTCCAGCCCTCAACCACAACAAGGTCTTAGAGCGCCCTCTTCTGTCTAAATGGCGCAACTAAAACATTTATGGATTCCAAAGAATGCATAGGTTGATGCGTTGAAAACGCAAAAGGCACAAAAACGAGGTGAAGGGACACCCATGTATGTTATATTGGATGCATAATTTAAAATAATAAAGACGTTAGTTAACTATTATGTTGCATTCCATCAAACTCACAAATGTTGTAATATAATAATAGAAATCATAAAAAGTATATAATTTCCGTTTTCTGTTGATTTAGACCACTACCTATGGTCATGGTAATGGTCTAAACAATAAAACACTTATTTTTAAATTTCCATATGGGTAGTTGCTTACTAAGGCAAAAGGAAAGACTTATAATTCATAAGAAAAGACGCGTCTTTCCCCTTTCTCCTTCTGCTGTGCCTCGCGTTCAAAGTTATCCACTGACTGAAGACAAACGTTGCCGTTCAAGTATGCTTAAGAAATGTGTTTGTTTCTAAAGAACGCCAAATCGAATTTTTATTGAATCGTCAACAAAATGCATTCTACCAGGAGTGGGGTTCGAACCCACGCGGACATATGTCCATTGGATCTTAAGTCCAACGCCTTAACCACTCGGCCATCCTGGTATGTTAACATTGATCCCGAAACGATCATTTCATAAAAGAAAAACTGTCAGCGCATTCAATTCGGTTTTTCGATCATTTTATTTTGTGGTTTATGTTTTGACGTTATCAGCGTACACATGACGCATCAGAAAAACGCATCTATTTCGCCGAGTACTAGCAGCTAGCAGAAAGCTAATCTGAGGGTTATGCAGTCAGTAAACTACAACGAAAATACCTACATCGGTAGGCTATCTCGTTCATTACAGTAGTGGGATACAATGAAATGCTTCATAATTCTAAATAATTTCATTATGTGGAAATAATACACGCACTGCTGGTAATTGTTGACATTTTACGAAAAAACGCTGCTAATAACATTAGCATGGCCTTAACTGAAAGCAAAAGTTTCAACCCGGTACTTTGACGAGCGAACACCACTCCTAACTTTGCTTCGTTTAATATACACAGTGTACTATTTCAATTATGAACCATACAAAATCGCAAAGCAAACAAGGTGGAGGCGCAAAATGGAGTTTGAGATTCACAAAAGTTACAAGTTATTAATATTCTCAAATATTCTCACTCTCGAAGATTATCGACCCGGTTCCTATCAGTCCATGCTCCGCTATTAAAAATGACGTCCGACATCAACTTTTGAAGTGTGAAAAAAAACACAACTTTGACCACTCCTACCCATACGTTGTCGGTCATTTCGTTCATTCTGTTCCATAAAGAAAATAGCTCGTACTCTTTACACTGTGTATCCAAATGATTTTTTTATGAATCATTTTTTTAAAAACCTAATTACAATTAGAAATCATGCAATTTGCACATTCTAAAGAGTAGTGCTACAGATTAGGCACCTGTACGGGGGTCAGATTACAGTGTATAGCCCTAATGAAAAAAGTTAATAACACAGACTCACTTTTAAACAGAACACAGAGAATTAATTCCTAAATACTCTTGAAATAGTCATAGACCGTGTAAAATTTGATGAACTGGGAGATATAGAAGTTCATTCAATAAAGCCTGAACAAAAGAAAATTTGCATATGAGAAGCTACTGTCTATAATTAGGAAGGCAACGTTTCTAGACTTTGCCTAGAAACTTTGCCTTAGATTCTAAACCTACCTTTTATGTTGCTTCATCTCTATGTGCTTGTATGCTACTTTTAGATCAGCCACTACTTTTATAAAAGCCACCACACAAGGAGTTATACAAGCCTTCAATTCTACAAGAGCTTAGCCGGCCTCTGCTTCTAGAAAAGACATCACCCACGTGGATTATACACACCTCATGTTCTAGAAAAGTAAAGCCGACAGTCCTTCCAATGATTCGTTGTATCAAGCAAAATCATGCTTTAATAGTTATACAAGCTAGGAGCCAATTTCAGAAAAAAATCACATTTTATTTTAAAATGGATAAGTACAACATCACAATTTAAATACAGTATTATATATTTATAAGAAACTCTTTCAGCGTCAAAGACAATACCTTCTTAAAGACATTTGTAGTCCTCACAAGTCAACACCTAAAGGCGGCCAATTCTGGTTTGTTCTTAAAGTAACCTGGGACACACCTGCTATCGTGACATCAACTCCCTGGCAAATGCAGGTAGTGAATCACTCTTGGAGAATGTCATGTTAGTTACTTTACTTCAGCCAACAAAACAAGCCACTGACAAAAAAAAATGTTTACAACTGAACATTGTGACACTGTGATACTATTTAAATTTCAAGAAATTTAAATAAGGTTTTTGTCATAAAGGAACATGATCGTTTAAGGACAATGAATGAAAAACACAATTAGTACTCAACTTTTTTATGTTTTTTTTTTTTTTTTTGAGGACAGTTTGAGTTCATGAGGCATCGATTTCATTAAGAAAAACATTATCACAGGCTGATGATCAGCTTTGCCAGGAGGATCATTTCATTTTCAATTACTGCTATAAGTGTACCGTAGGTTTGAAATGCAGACTAGTTCCTTGCTATGTCTGTGGGTTAATCTTACTTTCCCAATGAAACAATCTAATGCTTTTTGTTTCAGTACCAAGACTGACTATTATCCTCAAAAAATGCTTCATCATCAAAACTGATTGGGTTGATAGAATGTGAAAGCACCTGAAAGCTATAACAGCATGTGTCTATCGCCTCAGGATACTTATGTATGATTTTTGTGGTCCAACATAAAGAAAAGAAAATCAGTGGGTTCAATTTGACAAGAAGCTTTACTTTAGTTTAGATTTCAAGTATATAGAAAGACATCATTAACTTGTGTTTATTCATCCTGTTACAGTTCTTGCTAACTTGTTAATTTATAAAACATTTTTAGTCATATTCTTTTCCTTAGATTTAAAATTAGAGGATTTAATAGACTTTTAAATATATATATATATATATATATATATATATATATATATATATATATATATATATATATATATATATATATATATATATATATATAAAACTTGAAAAACAAAGTATCTCTTAAGCTCATATTATAAAAACCCTAACCATGTCCATTTTAGAATTGCAACATGGACACTGGGAAGTCTGTAATTCACTGTCTTATGTTAATTATGAACATTCTTCTTCTCGTGAATCCAATTCTTACTCATTTCCAAACATGTGAACTGCTTCCTCACGAGATTCAAGTCTGTTTGTATAGCCAAAATGTGCGTCACTCAAAAACAATTCACTGCTGCAGGAATTTATTTTAATCCAAACATCTTAAAATTATTCCAAACTGAAACATTTTCCATTTAAAATCTCAACTTATCTGGTGTCACAAACCTACCTCCATTGATTTATTCATGTAACCATAGAGACATTTTACTGTACCAAGAAAGTTTTCTATAAGCATTAAATATCAAGCTTCACATATTGGAGTAATTCCAGCACTTTGAGTATCCAAGTATCTGTAAAGATTAAAGTTCCCATAAATTAAAATGATTGCAAGCCATACTTCATTCTGATGCCATCTCTTTTTATGTAGTTAAAACATTTGTCTCATAAACTTGATTGTTCAATAAATTGTACATTATTGACTGAAGTCTTAGAATGCTCCACTTTGTTTCCAGCATGGGAGCCAGGGACAACATTGCAAACAAGGGTTCTTCTTCTTGTGAGCTTTGGCCCTGACTAATTTATAATTTGCTTCTTCAGTATAGTCCTCCGTTTTGCACACATTAATTTGGATATTATCAACAAGTAAACCCTGCTCTTCAACGAGGATGGCTATTTGGAGGAACAGTTCCTGGACCTCCTTCATTCTGGCCTCCAGGTCCAGCAGCTCTTTATGTCTGCCTTTGATGTTGCCCAGGGCTGAACGGCATAAACGGCCACCATCAGGGCAAAGGTTCTGGGACAGCTCAGTCCAGCCCTCACCACCTTTTTCCACCAACTCATTCAGGTCTTTCTCGCTCATTTCTGCCCCCATTATGGAAGCTTGCCTCTGGAGCCTTGTCCTGCATGTGCCTCTCTGTTTCTCCTCGATCTTATAGTAGTCACTCATGACTTCATGGAATGAACACATGAGAGTTTCATACTGGGTACGGGCAATGCGAGTAACTGCAGCATTGGGACCATTTTTCTCCTCCAGCCTGCTGCACTCTTTACCCAGGTTCTGTATTTGGTTATGCAGAGACTCTGCTCGATGATGGATTCCTCTTGCAATGGAGTCAGAGTCCCTTTTTAGAAAAGTGAGACGTCCCACGGTTGTGCCATAACGCTCATTGTGGATCTTCAGACGATGAATCTCCAAATTAAGCATGGACATATCTTTGCGTATGGAGTGTGACTCCTCCAGGATATTATCCATTTCTGTAGAGTAATCAAAAATGACAGCATCTTGAGTCAGAGTCTTCTTGTCTACGTCGTATTCAGGTCCAGTAAGCTCTGGCTCATAGTCCTCCTGCTCTTCGCTGATGGTGTGGAGTTTCCCCAGCATGTCCCGCATTTTGCCTGAGAACCCACATAAACAAAATGTTGGTTCAATCTAAAATGGTGGATGAGACTAAAATATATTGTCAGACTGATAACAATTGTAAACTAAGGCTTGGGTAAATTGAATTTTGGACATCCTCAAGATACTTCAATATTTTAATTTGAGATGTCGCAATTAAAAAAAAACTACTAGCTAAGCACCAGACTCCCCAATAAGATGCCCAGTAGGTTCAAAATGTATATAAACTAATGTTAAAATGTCACTTTCTGGTGGGGCAAAATTAGACTATATTGTAGCTGGAGGAAAGTATACTAAGAACAGCTTGTGTTCTACATGTGACAAAAAAATTGATGTATTCTCTTGAACCTAATGCAAGACTTGTTTATGGTCTGATGAAACCAAAAATGAACTTTGTGGGTCACATTTCCAAGAGTAAATGCTTGAACAGCATGTCTACCAGACATATTGTCTTTGGCACATTATACTCTGGAGTTGCTTTTCTTCAAAATTTTTTATTTATTTATTTTCAGTTCTGTACAAGAACGCTGAAGATGAAATGGGATTTAAAGACTATTAAACCTTTGAAATGTCCTAATCAGAGTCTAAATCACAGAGATCTGCAGAGTCACCTACACATCTCTGTGCAGGTGGGTGGTGGGCAAGAGATATCCTCTCAGCCTTAAAGATTTTGAGAACTTTTGAAGTTTTCAAACAGGCTGATAAGACTCCAGTGAGAAGCCTAAATGCTCAAAGTGAAGCAGGAGATGGGTCAGCAGATGATAAGTTCATGGATGTTCATAGTTATTAATAATATATTCTGTCTTTCACCCCATTCTTGCCTGAGATAAATACTAGGATAAGTTGGAAGTACGGATGTTCACAGTTAGGAAACCACATTGTTGCACCTGTTTGATCCTTTTTAAAGGACATTTCCTTCCTTTTCAGTTGAATCATAGAAAATCAAATATTAAAAGTTTAAATTGTTTTGAAGTTAACCACTGCATAATTTTGTCCCTCTCTAAAACCTAGCATTTTGAACAAGGTTGAATACAATTTATCTGTATCTGATGTGCAGCTTTCTAAATGTTTTTTAGACATCCACACAAAAATTATTGCCTCTTAGCACATTTATATTTTGCATTACAGTGACATTTTATCTGTTCCACTGAAAACAGTCACAGATGACTGGCTCAATGGAATGTCTTTTTTTAAACCAGGAACAAGGAAGACAACTTACTGAAAATGAAGGTAATGACAATAAGTGGAGGGATGTTACAAATATCTTATGTAAGTGAAGCTTGATTTATATAATACTTTGGTGGTCTCATATGGCGCAAAATATATTCTTGTTCTCGGGGTTTTGCTGCATGCCGTCTCAAAATTAAAAGATCTCGAAAATTACTTTCACCATCTTTAGTTAAAAATGTGAGAAATTTGACACATTTACTGAAAAATCTCAAGCCCATTCGACATTATTATCGACACCAATACAGCATTAGCACCAAGCTGCTGAGCATTAATTAAGTTGACAAAACAGCCACCCTCATATCAAAAGGTGGCTTCAATTTAACTTAGAAATTGTTCAACTAAAAAATTAAAACAACTTACCGTTTTTGGAGTCTCACAATATCCAAAAACTAAGTAAAACCCTTTTCAGCTTATCTTGTTCGTTTGATCCGAAGAGCTTGAGGCATCTTTTCACTCTGACGAGAAGGAAGTCAGCTGTCTGCTCAGTGTGCAGCTGCCTGCCACCCCTGCACAGGTGACATACCAAGGCCTTCCCACTAAAACACAACAACTTCCTCAAAGACACATCTTCTGCCATTAGTATAGAGATTATGTAATTCATTAAAGAGACAGTCCTATAAAAAAAGGTAAGTTTTCTTCTTAAAACATTGAGGAGTTTCCCTCGGACTGGAAAAACAGCCTTCATAGTTTAGACTTGGTGAGTTTAGAATCCGTCTATATGATTGAACTGAATGGACTTTTAAAATTATTTGTGTTCTTGCCATTGTCTATCAATTCTGCCTTGTTTCTATTTGTTAATCAGTTCCTTTTTGGTGATTGTAGATGAGATTGTATCTTGTATCTAGTCCTTTTCTTAGTTACTCCAGGTTTTATTATGTTTTGTATACCTAGTTATGTGTTAGATTTATTTTCTAGTCCCCAATGTGTCACTTGCTCTTTCTCTTTTTCTCCTCAGGCTGCTTTATGCTTTCTCATCCCACACTTGCAACCTGTTAGCTCATCATCCCAGGTCTTTGTTCAGCATTCAACCTCCCAGTAATACACCTCTTTCTCAGTCACTCCTTGCTGGTTCCTTCTGTTACTTCTCTTTCCTCTCTGTATCCCTCATATTGCTTTGTGCTATCTAGTTATTGTTTGATTTTATTTGTATTCTGCTCTGCTCCCTATGGATTTTTTGTACGCTTTTTGTTGCTCATATTTTTCATTAAATATCTTTTTATCATTTGCTCCACTTCTCCACTATCCAGCATTTGGATCCATAATCAACCAACAACACATGACAGAATTAGCTCCTCCACATTGCATCAAGTGAAGAATATATTTCAAATGTAAAGGAGTGACTTACTTTGGATATATATCTAAAATGAACCAGTCTACTGAACCTTCAGCTCTACACGGCTCAGTGAAAAGGAATTCTCGGCTTATCTCCTTGACCCAGCCCAAATCAAGTCCTTTCAAGGAGACACAAGATGTTTTCCTGAGGTACAGGAAAGGGGATCATTTGGCATATTCTGATATCCACCTAAATATTAATCACATTATAAAGAACATCAGGATCATAGCAATCTCAGACACAATGGGATCAAAAATTATTTTAGCTAAAAGTAATGTCAAAATCCTTGTGCAAGGTATTTGTTATGCATAAATAATGTTCAGATTATAGGGATCTCTAAAGCTATATGAACTGGTCAGGTAGCTTTGCTACATTAATGCTCTATACAGGAAACTACATTATGAAATAGGGAGGAAAGGTGGAAAGATACAAAAAAATAATAAAAAATTTGTTGTTAAACAATGTGATTGCACATAAACATTTATTTTGTGTTGCAGCCAGAAAATGTCAAATCTGACCAATTACACATTGAAAGTTGCTTGTTGTTTACAATGATTAACTGCTTAAAATTAACAATGCAATAAACATCTCAAATGAATCAAGGACAGCTGAATTGCACAAACTTTAGAGGCAGTCTTGTTTACACTTCTGTCAACATCTTTTAAACATATTTTGCTTGTAAACAAGTAGGTTTACAAAGGCACTTCATTCTACCTCAGTTTTCCCAGTAAAGTTTGGGACCAGTAAAGTCTCAATGGCAATAACTGTATCAACAATAATTTAAAACAATTTTCATCACACCCCATTCATAAAATAATAAACTGAGAACCATGCAGGCACTTAATTCATAAGTTCATTTCAGGAATTGAGATACTTGTTAATTTGATTTCGAAACAAGTTTAACATGAGTATTTATATTATATATCAGTCTAAAGGACTGTGGTAATTGCTCTACCTTCAGACCTTCATTTAACTCCTTAAAGTTGTTGTCCTTCAACAACAGTGATATGTATTGCTTTGCAATAATAATTGGAATGTATTGAACAAAAATATTGCATTGTATTTGATTCTGATCCTTACTTGCAGCATGGGAAGCAACTGCAAAACATTTTCTTAAACGGATTATTGTTGTCGTGCTTTTTGGCTAATTTAAGCTTGACAATGCCTTCTTGTATGCCTGCATCGGTTTTTTGAACATTTGTTAGGACATAGTCCACCATTGGGCCCTGCTCCTCCACCAGCAGGGCAATGTCCAGGAAGATCTCATGGATTCCCTTGATTCGGTTCTCCAGATCTACGAGCTCTTGATGGCGCTTCTCAATCTGGAACAGAGCCGATCGGGCTGTTTTGCCTTCGCTCACGACATTGTCAGTAAAGATGTTCCACTGGCCCTTCTCAATCATCTCCTCCACATCTTCGCCTGATACATCGCGCCCCACTATCTCCATCTGCCTCATGATCTGGGCTTTGCAGTTCTCTCGATGGGTCATCTCGGCCTCGTTATAGTCAAACATTGCGTCTCGAAAGCCATTGCTGAGGCAAGCATACTGGGTTCTGGCAATCCGTGTGATTGCAGCATTTTCACCATGCTCTTCCTCTAACTTGTGAGCTGTTCCATCCATTTTGTGCAGGCAATTTAGAATACCCTCAGCCCTCTTCTTTATGTCTGCTCCTATAGCATTGGAGTCTTTCTTAATTGTGCTCATGGTAGTGTTGCCCTGGAGCATGCGAGAGTTCTGCTCACGGAGTTTTTTAACCTCAAGTCGGATAAGCTGTATCTCTCTATGTATATCCTGGGATTGAGAAAAGACATCATTGAGAGCAGGGCTGTTGTCAAACACGATCGCCTGATGAGGGAGCTCGTCTTCCAGGTCAACATTACTAAAGGAGTCAGAAAAGGTGGATTCTTCATAGTCCACCAACTCATCGCTGCCGGTGGGCATTTCCTGCAATTGGTTTAGTCTGTCCCTCATGTTTGCGCTGTATTTCCGGGGTTAGCCTTGATATTTCAGGAAGATTGTCCTTCTCTGATTGTCTCTCCGATGCACATTAATAGAGATGACTCATCTGGCATAAGACAGAAACACAAACTTTAGATTTTCAAATTAACAAAGCCTTCTGTAATTCCAAAATCTGTGAAGGAAGATCCAGGTTTAACAGTAAAGTAAAATCCAGTGTTTTACATTACAGGAAAACCCCGTCATTTTACAATAATGTTTATTTTTTAAAACTAGGTGTCTGAAAGTCCTTTTTGTCTTCCTTCTTCCTTCAGAGTTAACCCACCCAACACCCATCACTGGCTAAACAGGTTCTCCAAAGAACAGGCAAAGGCGTAACTAGTGACCAAACTAGTTCTCACAACTTGTGATGTATGACGTTTTGTCTAAGTATAAGGTTTATCTTGAATACAAGCAGGGCATCAAATTATCTTTTAAATCAGATAAAATTCTTCTACATCACATCTGGTATTGTCTCTGCTTTCAACCGAGAAGACATAACTGTGAAGTGAGCAATTTTTTTCATTCAGAACAATCCCAGCAAAAAAAGAATAAGATAAAATGAAATCCAGCTGGACACCACATTTTAGTTTGTGGGTTCTGGCCTAATTAAGATGTTCAATTGATTTATGTGTAAAATAGATATCAAAATAATTAATAATTATGTTCATTTTATTTTAACAAAATTTGTTTAAGGGATTATCATGCTTTCTCTCTCATGAAGGAGAACAAATTTTAGCGAACCATCAGGCAATATATTTCCTGAAATTCCATGGTACAGAATTAATCAAAATCTGCATATTTTGTTAAAATAATTTGGAAATTCTAAATATTTTGTCCAAAAAATTATCTTTGATAGGTTTTATGGCCAAAATACATTTGTATGAATATGGCTATATTGATTAAGATCCAGAATGGCCCGCATCGCACACTTGATCATCTCCATTCACAATTTCCTGAAAAAAGAGGTGAAATAATGCCCCCCTAATCTTATGCCGAGGTGACTTGATGATATGCAAGAGCCTTACCTGTTGCCTTAACTGTTGTGCGCAGAAATCAAAGCTTGTCCTACGGCTGAGTGGAGAGCCTCAGCAGCATCTCCAGGTCTGGAGCCGAGCGCTCAGAGTGAGCGTGAAAAACAAAGCGTTCCACATGCGTAATGGAGCGATCTTTGGAGCCCAAAAGCTGCAATTGTTCCGTGCTTTCGTTGGGGCGATGGATTGCGCCACGTCACGTACCAGAAAAGATGTGACTTGAAGAATGAGATCCGGTCGGTTTAGTCTGAAGTGATTGTGTTCACAAGGTGTGATTGAGCTGGGAGAGCCATTCATATGTATGCGCCTCTACCATATGTATAAACGTAAGTAGACTGTAGGATTATTTTTTTTTTAATGTGCTCCTTCAACGTCTCAGTTTGTGTGCAGTTTGTTACTTTTAATTTGTGGCGTCCAGGAATCGGAATTGATGAGAACCTGGACTGAAATGAGCATCCGAAAAAGATTTTTCCAGCCACGCCTAAATTATTTTTAAAAGTGTTTTGTGTATGGGCCTATGTCTGGCAGTGAGACAAATTAACACCAACAAACAGGTAGAACCAGCTTCTTTTACATTCAAGCTCAAAAAACAAATAGAAACACAGTGACTTAAAAAAAAGTGAATGCGAATGTGGATTTGTTCACACATTAAGCAGACTTTTAAAATCATAACTAAACATTTTGCCGTGTAATTAAATCAGCTGTGAAAACAATGTCTCGAAATAAAAAATACATCTCTTTAAATATTTTTTTGCATTTAAAGGGGACACAAAACATGTGAATACTATTATGTATTTTTGGAGTTATTTGTTGGGATCAAGGGCATGCACTGGAATGGTTCATTCTGTCAAATAGGAACTTTAATAATCTATGGTACTATGGATTAATTGAATGTCCTCTTAGTTATGGTGTGACTCACGGCTCTGTCTTTAGTCTCCATCCTGTTTTCATTGTATTTTAGAATCAAAATCATTTTGCTGATGATTTGCAGATTTATTTGCCTTTTCAATTAAAAACTTGAAAAGGAAAACTTTAATAAAATTCATACAGGATTGTCTCAAAGTTACATTATTTGGGTTGAAGGTCTAGTATCTCAATATAAACAAAAATGAAGCAGAAATTGTTGTGTCTGAGATACACACCACTCAGTCATATAATCGTATCAGATGTCTCCTGCTACAGTGGAATAAAGACTTTGACAATAAAGTTGTTTGTGAAAGATCAATTCTGCGTGAATGCTTTTAGTGCACATCATTTTATTTGTTCATGTATTCATTTGTAGGACACATTTCCAAATGACCTCAGCTGCAGGGGACTGCTGTAAACACACTACGCTATAAAGAGATTATAAAAATCTGTGTAAACCAGTGAAAAACGCAGAACCCAAATAATAATTTAAAGACACCATTTTATACTCAACAGAGCATAAATTATGTGTAAAGAAATGCATTGCCCTTTCTGGCTGCATCTACCAAAACAGTATCTGCCCCTCTTAGTTTTATCTATAAAACTCTGTGGTGCCAGTCTCTGAAGACCCTGACAGTTTAAAGTGCATTATAAAACAGACTAAATCTACACATGGATGAATGGAAACTTCAATTGCCATCCAACTCCAAATGTTTTCAATAGGACTTAGATTAGGTAAAATTTATGACAATTTAAGAGAAAGCTGCTCTTCTTCTGAACAAAGTCTTTGATCTGATGGGCTGTACAACAACGTTATCAGCAAATGGTTGAGGACCCTTAATAAAGAACAAAACCTGCTGCAAAATGTGCTGTCATGAAGACAGGGCTTGATGTGCCTGCACAACCTAAAGCTCCATTGCTTTGTCAAAATAAAAAGTGAATTTTCAAGACGTCAATTTCTTCTGCTCAGCACAGGTAAATTTTTATGGGCCACTACTTGATTTGTTTGTTCCTCAAGCTTCACTACCTGTCAATAAGTTGAAAATATCTGTCTTACACGTCCCCTTCATTAAGGGGATGTGACGTGAAAATGAAATAAAAATGCACAATTTTAATTAGCTGATTAATTCCTGGTTGATTTCAAATGCAGTTTTCAGTCATTTGTCTTCTATATTTTATTTAATATACATTTTGTTTCATACTGTTTCTTTATTTTACATTTTTAAGTTCTTCTTGGAGCCTGGTTATGATTCACCAGCACAAAATAAGAGCAATTTCTTACCAGATCTTAAAATTTTAATCGCGAGTATATGTACTTCTAGCTCCCTGATTTAACTTTACCTGGACTAGAGTTTGTTGATTTTGTGATGCGTTCAGTATACCCTCGGATTTTCTAAATAACCCGAAAATGTCCTGTAAAATCCCATGTTGATATAGAAAACGAATGTTCAGAGTTTACCTGGAAACTCGGGGGTTTGTCTTAACATAATAAACATCTGAAGGCAATGACTTTGAAGTCATAAAAGCGCTCGACAGAAAATTTCAATTGTTTGTAATTCGGAGAGAAGCTATCATATTTCCAGTGAGTTGCGGTTGAGAGAGAGCACGCTAATTATTTGGTATGTAATGCACGTGTTGTATTGCTATAAACCACCATTTAGTCAATCGAAGATTTGCTATATTTTGAGTTTTTAGAAAGCACGGCGTTGTGGACATTTATATTTCCGAGTGCTCCTGAAGTTACCACACCTCCATCAGTACACTGAGACTATCTCAATTTCTTTTCTCCCTCTAGGAAGCACTCCTTTGTGTGTTACTTTAACGGTGAGTGAAGGACTCTTCTGAGAAAAAGTAAGAGCTCATCATGAAGCTGCCTTCAATTCTACAAGTCTGCTGTAGCGTCCGAATGCGTGCTTCCCGTCCAGGAAGCAGATTCAGCGGTATGTCGCGTGAATGTTTCCCGGTTGGGAAGACAAACAGCCGGTTAACCCTTCGGACTGCTAGCACCGTTACTAGCAGCGGAACGAGCCCGACTTTAACTGCAAACTTCGGGAAACTGCTCAAAGAGGATGATTGGTCTGAATGCAACAGATCTGTGGGGTAAGAAATTTTGTGTATTAAACGTTTATATTTCAATTCAGCATATTTTGGCTTGATTTCTTTTAGAAAGTGTAACTATTTTATGCTGAAGTTCGCTCGAGAGACAAACGGCTCTGGTTTGGCTAACAGCCAGTTTCCCACGTGCACCCAGATGATTAGAGAGGCTTTGGCCAGATGATGCAATCTCACTTTGTTGTTTCTAAACATGCAATTTATACAGCAAACACGCGGTCAAAATTAATGGATGATTGAGGGAAGTTAATTTATTACCAGTTAAGATGATATGCTGTAAACTCAGGGTAGTTTGGGTAGTTTGTTTTACATCGTCCTGTTTTAAATATGGGATTTCATCTGACGTAATGTTGGTTTCGAGTTTTACTTTTTGTGTTGTTTTTTTGTTTTGTTTTTAAGAGAGAATATTGCACTAACAGTTTAAGATAGAGCTCATAAAGTTTATGTTTACATTTCTGCGCAAAATGTAGGTCAGTGTTACGATAGAGATACCTCCCACACCAGGGATAATCTATTTTTTAGTCCCAATACAGACATTTAATTTGGCTCCTTTACATTTTAGAAAATGTAAAGGAGGAAAAAAGAAGACACTGAAACAATGCAAGCAAAATTTTGCTTAGTAACAAAACAAACAATGATACAATATTGCTGGTGGAACAGTACAATAAATTGAATTATAATCTTCATCACAATTCTTGGACAGTACTTCGTTATCCACTTCACAGTATATTTCAGTTCTGCAGGTGTCTGTTTGGGGCTTTTAAAATCTGCTTGATTTTTTCACCCTTGTAAAGCTGTGTGCCTTAATGCTTATTTACAGGGAAATAGTTCAGAATACCAAGGCGGCAATTGCAACACTGCAAAGAAGAAATCCTGACATCCAGCCCCTGTTAGTCATTTTACAGGTAATGTATGGCAGGATATACGTCGTTCTGATGATCGTATAGACAAAATATAAACTCCAGCAAACCAAACCTTGCGGACATGACTTGATTTCTGACCTCAGGAGTATCTTTCTGTTGACACTGTTGCGTTGCTGTACAATCTGGTTGGTCTCTGTGTTTTAATCATGATTTTATTTTCATCTTGAAGGCTGATGAAAATGGCAGCATGTTGGAAATTAATAAGAAAATAGCTGGCAAGGTGGTCTTCCCTTTTTCTTTTTTTAAACTTCATTGTGTGAATATTTGTTTACTCAGTGACTAAAATATTCATGTCTGTCTCTTCACAGATTGGCTTGAATGTCACTCAAATTTGTTTGGCAAAGAAGTGCAGTGAAGATGAAGTAAGTCAAACTGACTCACAAGTTGGATTCTTTGTAAGCAAGTCTGTGCATGATTTAGCAGTCTTCTGTTGGGTGTGTTCATGGTTACTTGCATTTCAGTGATTTAGTCAATATTTTTAATTTTATGCTTCTAATGTAATTATTTATTCATTCATGATGTAATTGTTAGCCTAGCTGCTTGATATATTGTTGGTGAAGCTGCTCAACAGCTACTTTGGCTCAGCTGGGCCTTTCCTCCTTATTCATTCAGAAGCAATGACTGATTTGCTCAGCAGTTTATTTAATAGTAGGTGATTTGGTGCTCCTGGTATGGTGCTCTGTTTCTCTACTTTCACACATCTTTGCCATTTTTATCTCTTTGTTTGCATGTAGATAATAGAAGAGTTGCTGAAGCTTAACGATGACCCTAAGGTGCATGGAGTCTTTCTCCATCTCCCCACATCTTCCCTCACTAGTCGAGTGCTCAACACACTTAAACCAGAGAAAGATGTTGATTGGTAAGATCTTGTGAGATTATTTTGTCTGACAGATGAATATTATTTCATAAGTGGTAAATGGTGTTGAGCTGTAGCAACATGTGATAAGTTGCCATAAAAGGGCTTGTGATGACAAGTCAAAAGTAAGCCTCTGGTCATGGTTTGTTCTGTTTACAATATTGTGCGTCTCACATTTGGTCCAAATCAAGAAGGCCTGCAAAAAATTAAGACAAATTGTACAGCATGTGTCTTCCTAAAATAAGGGAATGGGAACATTAGCAAGGTACGCTATATAATAACCACAAATTGAATGGGGCTGGTTTAAAATCATGAAAGTTTAGATTCTTTTACTTAAAAGGTCTGAAGTTATGTTCATTACTTTTATTCTATCGGTATAATGAGCAAA